GTCGAGCGCCTTATCCACCTGGCCATGTGTCTGCTATCCATCACACAGTGTTGGCTTAGTTCATGTATTCTACACTCTTCATTTTTGATGTGTTTTGTCATTTGAAAGTTCACTCTTCGCAACACATTATATCACATATAGTTCCAAAAGTTGTTAATAGATTGGTTTAATTTTATTTAAAGTTAACACATTAACAAAAACATATATTTTAGATCTCCTACAGTTCAAATAAATATATGTCTTTCTCGTTTGTTTTTCAATTTTTTAATTTTTTGCAAATTAAAATATGGGATATCTTAAACCACCCCTTACGCTTAATTTTTACTAAGTTCTAACTGTTCTCTAACGAAAATGCGAACTTATGTTGTGACTTTTATAATATTTATCTTGACTCGTTCTAATCATATTCGTAAGAGTGGGTAATTTTCTTGTAATGAATTAAACGTATAGACTTTACTATACATCTGAAAGATTTAGGTATATCTTGTGTATAAGCTTTTCTTCTTTACTTTGTATTATACAGATATCGTTCCTATGAAACTGTATGTATTCACTGCAACTATCTTTGTGGTTTTGTTTGAGTTTATTGCATTCTTTTTAACAATTTCTGTTTATGAGTTCGATGTTAATTATTTTCCTATGAGTAAACTGCTATTTTCATAAAATAATTATCTAGCATGCTAGTATAATACGAATTTGCACAAGATAGATAATTCAGCAGTAAGGCTAAATCTCTGGAAAAAGAGGCACGCTATTCCTGACATACCGAGCAGGGGAATTCTGGATGGTTTTTACAGGATAATCTGTGGACAGTCAGTTTCATGGAAAAATGGCGTAAACTAAATAGGTCGTTTATTTATTTCAAGGTTCGTTGCAATGCAATTGTGAATAAACTGGTAATTCAAATGTAGACGTTTGTTTTTAATGAAAAACATTCAGCGAGAATTTAAAATGTCAGATCTGGGCGGTAAGGCTGTCATACCATTAATTCACGTATAGATGAGGTTTATACACAAGTTGAAGAAAAACTCAGCTTGTGGGCTTATTATGCTATAAATCAAGCTTGATAAACAGTGAAGAAACAAACAATCACTAGATAAACTGTCAACTATGCAAACATAAACAAAACATTATTTGAAGTGAAATAAAGGCGATAGAAAGGAATATCCTAATTAGAATGATACGAAAATGTGCATCAGTGTGCTGTTATATTAAACACAATTACAACTAACATTTAAATCTCGATGAGGAGAGAATTTTTTTTTTGTTACTCTCAAGTAGAATTTAGTAAAATAATTCAAATGAAACATAATATGAATAAATAATAAAATAAGAAAGATTGTAGAATATCATTATAACCAACAGGGTTATGTTTTGAATCATAATTAAGTATTTATTAATTGCTGTTTTGTGTAAAATCATAGTTAGATCAATAATATAAGTTTCTCTATTACCTAACCAACTGAACCACACTATATATATTTAAGATTTAAGAGCGATAGAGACAGAGGTTTAACCATCACTGATTAAAATGGTTAACCAGCACTTGAGAAAATGCTGGAGTAATGGATTTCACGTGTAACTTGTTTTGACCCAAACAAATTTTATATTGACTCTGTTCACTTCGTACCATACTTCTTCTACTTTTATTTGTCGAGTTTCTGAGGTTCAGCTTCTTAAATATTGTTTCCTACCTACAAGTGCAACACATTCACTCGGAGCGTGGCATTTTATTTTATTTGATGGCACTTGTATCATTATGATTTTAAATGTTTTTATATCTTCAACGTTTTTTGTAACTGTCTTGATATTTTGTTTAAGTTGAGGATAATTCAAACTTTCTTGTATTTGTGAACATAATCAGGATTTTGAAGAGGAGAGTTTTTATGCTATTGGCGAGTGATATAGTACATATATACATATAATCAGGGGCGGATTGGGCCGCCGGGACACCGGGCAAAATCCCAGTGGGCCGGTGACGCCTGGGCCAGTGGGGTGATAACCTGGTTATACTGTCTCAATGGCCCCCCCAGTGGCACAGCGGTATGTCTGCGGACTTACAACGCTAGAAACCGGGTTTCGATACCGTGGTGGGCAGAGCACAGATAGCCCATTGTGTAGCTTTGTGCTTAATTCCAAACAAATAAACCGTCTCAATGCTACTGACTAACCTACTGTACATCTATATATATATGATCCTGGTTTTTGAGTATTTGCCCGGGTCGTTTAAAGCTGCCAGTTCGCCCCTGCATATGATGTATTAATTTTAAAAGTTAATTAAAAGGCTAATTTAAAATACTAATAATGATGATAATTTAGGACACAGTGGTGACAGTAAGATTTGTTTTGCTTCACATTTTCAGACATTCTTATTGCCTAAATAACACTGAACTGGTGCAAAGATACCTATTTAGAAGGTAAAGATCGTGAGGACTTGATATGGCCTCATTAGAATAGAAAATTTATTGCATCATATTCACACTACACTGCTCGAAATAATTGGTGAGATTTTTTCATTCTAGTTGTAAAAAAGGCACAATTACTGTTATTAAGTAATTTTATTTACATATCTCAGTTAATTTTTGTGCAAATAAAAGATTTCAAGTGACTAGTCATGTGATCTGCCATATATATATATTTCAGTGATATATAAAAGGGAAGGAAATACATTGTTCATAGTTAACGATATGAATAACAGAAGTGTGGGAATAGATTCAGACTATTAGTGAAATATGCTAGGACCATAACAAAGACAGTTAGAAATTTCATGACGTGGTAGGAAGTAAGCATGATGTTGGACTAGCTTTCACATCACTATTACAATTGGCCGGAGACCTGGACAGGCAACTCCACAAGATGACCGTTTCTTGACATTCTACGTTTAACATAATCGGGAGGTGGGGACAGATCATTTTCCTAAAAGAATCCAAAGGCTCAAAGCAGCAACTGGGCTACAAGTCAGATGTAAATAGTCAGAAACAGGATTAATAACGTTGGCCCTTATGTCACACGACCAATATCGTGTGTAATTTATCAGATAGCCACAAATAGCTGGTCTTTAGTGATGTCAAGAACAACTTAGTCAAACGATATGGGGCGAAGT